AAAAAAAAAAAAAAAAAGAAATTACTGCAAGTATATGTTGACTATTCTGCTGGATGTTTTCTTTCAGGAAGTATGGTTATTTATGGGAGTAAATACATCAGTACATTTGGTCTGAAGGAATAACTTCCTTTCATAGCTTTTCCTAACTTGAAATATAAAAATGACTTGGAGTTGACGCTCAGAATTCTATTAAAGATAAAATACTTAAATATCACAATATTTCAGATATAAAACTGCAATCTCAGCAATTTTCTAATGTTTCCAGCACAGTAATTAATATTTCACTTCATAGATGGTGGAGTATTTCTCAGGAGGCTTTTTAAAGCAATCTAAAAATGCTTCATGTACATTATGCATGCAAAGTACAGTTCTTTTAAAATGCTAATTTTGGGAATTGGATATGTAATTGCATATTATTAAGCACAGAATATTACCATTTCCAAAAATCAAAGAATACAATTTCAGTTTACTACTTTTAAAAAAACCACTTTGATAAACACACTATTTTGAATTTATAAAACTATCACAGTGCCAACTTCATACTAGGTGAAATTCATGATATAAAAAAGATTTTTAAAAGTTAGTTAGGGGAGGAGTGAGCCAGAAAAAGAGTCAATTAAAAACTCTATGTAAAGTTAACATTTGTGTTTCTCTATTATCTTTTTTTTTTGTAGATAGTGTTTTGCTCTGTTGCCCAGGCTAAAGTGCACTGGCACAATCTCAGCTCACTGCAACCTCTGCCTCCCAGGTTCAAGTGGTTCTCCTGCCTCCGCCCCCTGAGTAGCTGGGACTACAGGCACCAGCCACCAAGCCCAGCTAATTTTTTGTACTTTCATAGGTTTTGCCATGTTGCCTAGGGTCATCTCGAACTCCTGAGCTCAGGCAATCTGCCTGCCTCAGCCTCCCAAAGTACCAGGATTATAGGAGTGGGCGCCCGGCCTCCTATTTCCTTTAGATACAGAGGTGTAGGTATAATTCAAATTCTAAATACAAACATCCTTTTTTTTTTTGAGACGGGTTCTCACTCTGTCACCCAGGGTGGAGTGCAGTGGAGTACACTGCAGCCTCGCCCTCCTGGGCTCAAGTGATCTTCCTGCCTCAGCCTCCTAAATAGCTAGGAATACAGGTATATGCCACCATGCCTGGCTAATTTTTTATTTTTCCCAGACATAACCTTTTAACCACCACCACCACCACCACAAGAAACATCTAGATTAGAAAAAGCAAGATTAGGCTGGGTGCGGTGGCCCACACCTGTAATCCCAGTATTTTGGGAGGCTGAGGAGGCAGATTGCTTGAGGCCAGGAGTTCGAGACCAGCCTGGCCAACATGGTGAAACCCTGTCTCCACTAAAAATACAAAAATCAGCCAAGCATGGTGATGTATGCCTTAGTTCCAGCTACTCGGGAGGCTGAGGCAGGAGAATCACTTAAACCTGGGAGGTGGAGGTTGCAGTGAGCTGAGATCGTGTCACTGCACTCCAGCCTGGGTGATAAGACAGAGACT